CTTGTTCCTGAGCCAAGTGATAGTGTTGCGACAAACAGGCAGCAAAATGAGAGCCATGTTGAATTTGAGAGTCTCTGCGCCTCCTTTGGCGACACAAACGCAATAACCCATCACGCCATAAGCCGCTTTGTTTCGGTACTGAATGAATTTGTAGGTGAATAGGCCGCCGCAGATGCCAAGCCATAGCAGCATGATCCATAGTCTCTGCCAGTTGTCAAGTACGAAATATTTGATTTTCTCCGACCATCTCACCAGAGGGTTGCTTTCTTTCGCCGGTTTCAGCTTCTGGCTTAGCATTTGGCTTAGTATCCGACTGTCTCCCATCCGCACTGACTGGTTCGGGGCTTGTAGTAAAAGCATCTCCAGGTTTTCGATCTGTTTTTCACCAGTGTCCAATTTCATATCGTTAGCTATAATATTATCATGCAACATTAACATTCCAAAAGGATTCTTTTAACATTTTAGATTTAGGTTTTTTCAACAAAAGCTTGGACTAGTTGTAAGGAGATTATTTTGTTTTTTTATGTTATTTACTATATTACGATTTTAGTGTTTTTATATATAAATAAATATTAGGTAGACGTCGATTTGTTTGTTAATTGATTTGGTAAATAAGATGTCCCGAATTTTGACCACTTTTAGATTTTTATAACCTTGGTTTTTTTTCCAGGTTGTTTCTAGAATTTTAAACGTGGTAAATTATTGATATGTACCATAAGAGATTGAGTGGGAAAGGTGGACCAAACGTACCATGATGTAACCAGCATTGTCTGGGTCCAACTCTTCCATTATCAACGCTGCATATTCTTTGGCTTGCTTTTGAATATTTGAAAGCTTGTTCGCTGAAGCACTAAGACTAATAATCTGCAATTAATCACCAACCCACAAAACGACAAAGTATTTTAATAACATAAACGAAAGTACAGTAATAAATACTACTCTATCTATCTATTAACCATTATTGTCGTGTTCGCATGCAGTTAATGGATTTGTGATGTTAACAGTAAACGTCAGGATTTTATCAACAAAGGAAAAAAAATAGTAAACGTCAGGAGATAAAGTCAGTGGGATTTGCGCGTGGACAAATTTGTCAAGACAACAACTAAAGAATATATTTTTCTTGTCATCACTACTACTATAGGATATATGTAACTATATAATAAAATATGTGAAAAGATAAAAATTGAATGGTGTGTGTGTCTCTCACCTCAGCCACCTCTTCTTCTGTTACCCTTCCATCCTCATCTTTGTCCACCCTGACCCACACAATGACGTCATTTGTTAGTTACAAATCCACGAAAACCTCAAAAAAATGATTAAGTAATTAACTGTTCTTTTATTTCGATCCTAAACCGTCTAATTTTCAACATGTCGATAATTAAACGACCATAATATTGACTAATGACTATTAAGCGTTGATATTGTTAATGGGTTAGGTGAAGATAAGAAAAAGCTTACATGTCAAAGAAGACTTGTAGTTTGGCATCGAAGCTTTCATCAGAAATTTGTTCCCAGAAGATTCTGAGCTGTTCTTTGGTGATTGCATCGCCGGAGATGTTATTCCGGCGAGCCAGTGCTCTAAAGAGCTGGTCCGCAAAGTCTTTTGACTCCTTGTTCATTCCTAAAGAAAGACATAAATATGAAAATTAACATAAATGGAAACATATAATACTAATAATAGAATTGCTTAAGCTATAATAAAATTACGTACCTAAGCATTCCCAAAACTTGGAAGAGAGTAAGAGGCCGTTGGAGTCAGCGGAGAGTTTATCGAAACGTTGGTCTACGGCGGGCCACGCGGCGGTCTTGGTGGCTATGAACTTGAGACCTTTAAGAGCATGGATGGCAGCGGAGCTCGTTCGGTCAAACCGTCGCACGGCGGGAGAAGGGCGTCTAGAGAACACGCGCCGGAGCTCGCGTGATGCGTTCTTGATACGTGAGGAGGTGCTACGGAAGAAGTTAAGGGAGGCGGAGTTGTTGAGGCTGCTTTCAAGCGTCTTCTTGGTGAGAAGTGTCAGCTCTGGATCCTCCAAATGCTGAGCTCCTCCTCCGGCACTAGCTTGCTGGACACTGTGGACGGCCACCGAGTCATCCCTGATGTCTAGCGTAATCTCCACGTACTCATCGTCTTCACCGCCACGTCCACCGCCGTCGCCGCTGACACTATTGCTTCTCCTAGGAAGATCCGCAGCAAATCTTGCGTTTTTCTTGGATGCGCGTTTAGGCCGACCACCCAAGGGACCACTGAAGGCGGTCCGGTCGCTGGCGATGCTTTCGTTGTCGGAGTTGGTATCCGAGTGAGCTCCTCGTAGAATCCCAAGTTCACGGTCGTTACCTGAATTTCCTCGTCTCATTTTGCTTCCAGGCTAGTAAAACGAAAAATATCTCGCTTGATAAGGCCAAGAAAAGCCTCAGAGAAATGAATATATCAGAGAGGTAATTACTATTTTGATCTAGAGAGAAAATCTCCCCAACCAAAAGGTCTTTTGATTTTTTTGACTATGGAAGAAAATGATTTTTGCTTAAAATATATATATAGAGTGAAAGAGGGAGAGATTAATGAAATGGACATGAAAATTCCAATTCATCTGTGCTAAATCCGGGAAGGTAGTGGGAAACTATGGATGGACCGCCCCCCTGTATGGTCAAACCCCTTACTGACCATTTATTTTGACCTTTTTTATTTTTCATTTCAATCGTTTTTTTGTATGTTCACCGAGTCAATTTCTACATTTCAACACCGAGTTCATTTCTACTTTTGTCTCCAAGAAGTTTATTAATGTTTATGTATGTATGTAACAAGTGTGAATTTGCACAGAGAAAAAGAGCCACTATATCTTTTTAATGGGATGCTTTACTTATTCTCCTTATTTGGCACCCATACAAAAAAAAAGTAACGTTTTGCGTTGAAGGGATTTGCATATAGTAACAAACTTTCTCAAAAGTCAGTTATAATTCATTTAGGATTCGTGAACAATAGATGTGATCTGTAACAACTTTGAAACTTTTGTTACTTTTGAAACTTTCTCAAAAGTCATTTTACGTTCGAATATATAACTCTCACCTACTGTTATAGCCGGAGTAGTTTAATTATGGAATCGTGAACAGTTCCATGTGCGATGTATTATTATTTTTTTAAAATTGTTTTTCTAAAAAGAGTCAATTAGTCGTGTACCTACAATTAAAAAAATCTGATTAGCCGTATACCATAGATGTGGAAGTTTATTAATGTAGCCATTAGGTATTCGTCGTAGGAAAAAAACAAAGCCATTAGGTATTTGTCAATTAAAACACGTGGGTTTCAAGTTCGCAACAGATCACGTGAGAAACCATCTCTCGCGTCAGTTATTAAGGTGATGATTGGTTCTCCCGCTACCACCCGCAAACGCAGCGTTTGCGGTTCGTAGCGGTTCTTAGCGTTTTATAACAATCACGACAACCGCTTTCAACCGCTCTATACCACTCTGTACCGCTCTATATCGCTGAAAATCAAAAGCTCCTTTCCGCAAGCGTTTGCGGTTGCGGGCGGTTGCGGTTTGAAAAAAAAAAAAAAAAAACATAATATCTCCAAATTTGGAATAAGGGTATATTTTTTTGAAAAATACCATAATTATGTTTAAAAATTTCGAAAATACCCTAAATTTTTTCTGTTTTGAAAAATACACTTTTAAAATGTAAAAAGTATGTTTTGACGTGATTTAAACAAAAAAATAATAAATAATTACAAATTATAAACGAAAATTTAAAAAAATAATAAACTAATAAGTTTTTTTTCAAATAAATATAGTATATGTTAAACTGAAACAAATTTTAATATTTTGGATCTTTATATAAACAACTTAACCTCATACACATTCAAACCAAATGAAACTTTAAATAAATTAAAACTTTACATATATTTAAAGTTTATAAATTATTAAAAATTTAAAAGTGGAGAAATATATCTTTCATTTTTAATGTTTATCTTTTGAAAAATTTAAATATTTTTGAAACTTTGCATAAACAACTTTAATCTCACCCCATTTAAACTTTATATAAACAATCTTATATTTTTATTAAATTGTTTAAAAAAAACTAAACAGGTAATTAGGATGTTAAAATGATACAAAATTATTATCAAATATTAATATTTTATATTTCTTATTTGAATTTCGTTTTTATTAAATTAGGAATAATCATTTTACATATAAAAAGTGTATTTTTCAAAACCAAAAAAAAGGGTAGTTTTCAAATTAAAAATTCATCAAAAAATATATTTCAAAAAAAAATTATTAATATGGTTATAAATGTTTTGAATAATTATATATTATTTTTATTTTAGTAACTTTTGGTTAAACCGCTCTTGCACCCGCTGGCTAACCAGTCAAAAATATCCCGCAAACGCAACCGCTATGAATTGCTATACCAGTCGTACAAACAGCTTTTAATCGCAAACTCCCGCTTCCGCAAACTCCCGCAGCCGCAAACTCCCGCAACCGCAACCGCAGTGGAGGACTTCAAAATCTACCAAACGCGAAAAAGAACTAACAAATCACGCGCATATTAGGCTGCAAAAGTGGGAGGCAAATGAGAGGTAATAGAGTTTGTGTATTAGGCTGCATAAACAGATAATGGCTTTGATTGGTAACTATAAATGGAGGTAGTACAACTTGTGTTTGATATGTTACCAATCAAAAGAGTATTACATAAGTGATAGTACAAAAAGCATTTTACAAAAAAAGTAGCATTACAACAAAATAATGATGTTACAAAGAGCAAAACAATGGTACAAATGTAAAGCTACTTTTAAATGGTGTTACAAGAAATAAGGGTGGTACAAAACATTGTTTAATTTATTTATTAAAGTTTGTCATATAACGTGAGATGATTTTTTGTGCATTAATGTGACTTTGTATCTATTATAGCAACTTTTGTGGATTGATGTGATTTTTTGTTGCATTATTGTAAAATTAATGAAATTATCCATATTTTATATAGCAACTTCTATTAATACATGCATGCATTTTTATGATTCATTTTATATTTAACCGTAGCAAATTAATTTCTGTTGCATTTTAATAATGTGTAGATATAGTTTTTGATTTTTGGACATGTGAATGAATTATGAACAGTTGTAATTACAGTGCAAGAAATAAAAAATGTCATAAATATGAAAGTAAATTATTTATTAATCTCTTGATAAGTAAATAAGAAAGTAAAAAATTTTAAACAATACAAATTATCAAACTTTCCTTGAAATATAAAAATTTTATTCTTACAAAAACTTCTAACTAATATATACTACTTTTTACAACGCAAATGTGTTGCTAAACAAAAAAAAATACTTTATCTTATATTTTAGACTATATTTGAATTTCAATATTTAAGTTATTTTTTATAGTCAATTAATATATATTTTTTAAATTATTTCTATTTTTTATAATAAAAATATTATATTTGTAATGTTACATTGTTATCAATCGGAATTCAGTTACGTACTATTATTTTGTACTATCTCTATTTATACTGTTATATTACGTACTACTGTTTTTTGTAATATCATCTTTCGTATCATTGAAATTTTTGTAATGCACTATTATTCACTATGTTACCAATCAGAGCCAATATGTTTGTCTATGAACCATTGCTTGAAAGCCGCCCAAGAGCAATATCAGTTTGAGGGACTAAAAAAATCTAGCAAATTAAAAAGATAAAGAGAGAGAGAAAGGAGAGATGAGATGATGACAAAACATAATATATAATTGAGCACATAGTACAAAATGGATATGGGTTTTTTTTTTGTCCCTATACAGAGGGATTGGGTTTTGTTTTCTTTGTCCCTATATTAAACAGGACCGATGAGAAACAAAGGTGGCTGGCTAAGATGTACGTATTAAGATAGTATAAAATAAAAAACGTTGTGAGTTTAGCAGTGGACGGATCTTTGACTTATATCCTTAATTTGCTATGCGACTGATGTGTATATCAGTTTTGTTGTAAGTTGTAACTAATTCACAATTAAACTGATCTTATACGATGTACGTATATCTTTCGATTTGATTATACGGATTAAATTTATATTAAACGGTAAAGAAATTTGGTTAACATTTAATTACAAGAGATCGTAATTTCCGATTGGTGATAAAGAATATAACCATGTAGAGACACGGTTATCAGTAGTTAGAAAAATAAAATAAACAGTGTGAGGTGTCCTATTATTTGGTAAATTAAATAACTAATTTAGTTTTGTCAAGAGAAAGGGAATTGATATCTAGAAATATAACAACGATTCTGAAACTAAAAAGTTATAAAATGGTAGAGCAGAGCTTACCACTCTAACAGATCCACGACATAAAATAGTTGTTGAACTTCTTTTAATATGCTTTATTTTCTTCTCATCAAAGCTTTCATTTATATGTTCGATCGATAACCTTGGAGTTACAGCACATAATTACCACTCACCAAGTCACACATCTTGACTATAGTTTGAAGATTATTTACCTGATTAATAAGTCCAATGACTATTGGACACCAATCAGTAGATAAATAGATAATCTTCACTAATCGTTCGATAATAGAAATGCGAAGCTTCAAGCTTCCACTAATTAGTAGACTCACACGTAGTTTGAATAAATCGGTAATGCGCGATAGACTATTTGTTTGAATAGTTACCGTTGTTTTTTCCCCTGCACACTTATGTTTTCATTTCGACAAGGCTTACTTTTATTTGTAATTAATGAAGTGTGCATGTTTTGTATACGACGTAGACAATGAGATGCCGTACGTATTCAAAATTAGCCGTGTTTTGTGGACTCTGGAAAATCAATCTATATAGGAAATTTAATTATTCCTTCAACGGTTCTTTACTAGTAGTAGCTAGTGTTTGGGTTTTTATATTTATAGTTTTTTGCTTTTTCAATAAACAAGTGTTGATAGTTCTTATATTAAAATAAAGACTCGGTTATTTTTCGTTTTCAGAAAACAAATTACAAATCCCAACAATAGTAAGGGAATTGATTGGAAAATGGAGAACTGATGGAGAACACGACAACACCTAGGTAGATGCCAGTTCAAAGAGTTCGTTCATAATTAATTTAGCTTACCTAACATTGTACTTATGTCTAATTTTCCATATCTAGTCTCACTTTATAGCGGATTTTAAATATCATATTGATTGAAACTTGAAAGCGAGAGAATTTTTATTTATACAAGAAAAAACAAAATTTAATTGGAAAAGACGTGTAAGAGGTTGGTGTGGTCAATTCAAAGTGGATTTTGGTATAAGTGTTATTAACGACTTTGGTCCTCTCTCCTCTTTCAAGCATTGATGCCCTTAACTTCTAGAACATTTACGTAAGACATATTTCTTTGGTTA